CTTGCCTAAGTTTTCATGGGCAGAATAAAAAGCATGCTGTCTTTAAGATGCCAAAAGACACACCCACACCATCTTTTCTGGAGTTATTCCTATTAATAGTGAGGTCACCCTGGGGACTGTAAACCCCCTAGATCCATACAACCCTTAATGCTGCTGTTGGTCAGGAAATAGCAATTTTACAGTGTGATCCTAAGACCACTTTCATGAGAACAAGCCTCATTGAGTGGACTTTGGTAGGATTCTGAGTAGACCTGTTTAGGATAGGAGTGTTAGCTCCAGGTTGTGCCTTGTTCTCCCAGCCTGATAACCAGGCTGCTACTCCACAGTACAAATGACAGGTAGGGCATTTCTTGTGTGTTAAATGGTATCAAGTAACTTCCAATTTATGGTAACCCTATGAATTAATGACCTCCAAAATGTCCTATCATTAACAGCCTTGCTCAGGTCTTGCAAACTAAGGGCCCTGGCTTCCTTGATTGAGTCAATCAGGGGTCATTTCGTAGAAAAAGAGGTGCGGGAGCTCATTAGCATAACTTATTTGCATATGCCACACCCCCTGACATCACCGGAAGTGTGTCAGAAGGCAACACACACCGCTCGGGTTCCACTGGACTGTTTTGGATTGCTAGCTACTGGGGGACGTGCAGATCTGTCCTCACAGAATAGGGAGAGCCTGTACCTGAATAAAACTTGGTCTTAAAGGTGCCACTGGACTGTTTTGGACCAGGGGGTCAGGGGGAGCTCTGCAGCTTACCTGGCTGCTTCTTGCTCTGACTGAGGGCTGCTGGGAGCAGGGGGTGGGGCTTGTTGCATGTGTCCACCCCCTGGGCTCTTTACTGCCGGAGCTCCGCTCCTGTGCGCTCCTGCAGGAAATAACCCCTGGAGTCAATCCATCTCATCTTGGGTCTTTCTCTTTTCCTGTGGCCTTCAACTTTTCCTAGCATTATAGTCTTTTCTAGTGTCCTCTCATAATGTGACCAAAGTATGATAGCCTCAGTTTAGTCATTTTAGCTTCCAGGAAGAGTTCAGGCTTGATTTGCTAGAGAACCCACTTTTCTTTTTGGTAGTCCACAGGATCCATAAAACTCTCATCCAACACATTTAACATCAATCCACTTTCTTCCTGTCAGCTTTCACACCCATACATAGTACAGGGAATACCATGGCATGAATTAACTTGCTCTTAGTCATCTTGACACATCCCTACACTTAAGAATCTTTCTAGCTCCTTCATGCCTGCCCTCCCAGTCTCAATTTCCTTCCGGGTACAAACTCCCTTTTTGGTTGATGATAGAGCTAAGGAATAGAAAACCTTGAACAATTTCAGTTTCTTTATGATCAATCTTAAAGTTGTGTAATTCTCCAGTAATCATTACTTTTGTCATCTTGATATTCAGCTGTAATCCTGTTTTGGCACTTTCTGCTTTAACCTTCAG